AAGAGCCCGAAGAAGGTGAAAGCGGCCAAACCCAAGAAGGCGGCTAAGAGCCCCGCCAAGGCCAAGGCCCCGAAGCCCAAGGCGACCAAGCCCAAAGCTGCCAAGCCCAAGAAGGCCTCCAAGAAGAAGTAAGCGTATGGGTTCGTCGAGAACGTCGTAAAGGCTCTTTTCAGAGCCACCCACCGGCCTCGGGAAAGGAGCTGTGGCACCCTGCGGACGCAGGGGGCGTGGCGGGCAGAGAGCACTGCAGCTGGGGGGCGGCCCCTACGCAACGGACGCGGTCCCAAGAGCGACGCCTAAGTGCACTGCGGGCGGTGAGAATTATTAGTAGGGGTTGGAAAGTCTGGGGACTATTTTTGGCACTAATTCCCCCTCCCCAACGTCCGATGGTTCGAAATGGCCCACACTCCACGCGAAGGCAGGAGTAATTGCGGGGGGGAGGAGGGGATAGCTCAGCTGCACGCTAACCCAGCCCTGTTTGGGGAACCCTGGTTGTGTTGTGTACGATTTGCCCACTTTGAAATTTGCACTTGACGAGCCAGTACCATGCTTAGGTTAGGAAAATACTTTAGCCACCGCGGCTTTTCTGCACCGTCTCCTGGTAGAAAACCAAGACACTAAAGCAAAGTCCAAGGGTTCCCTAGCCAAGCGTACTGCAGAAACCCAGGTTCCTTCCAGCTCCAGCATCTAGGACGTCAACACGCCACTAGGTGTCCATTATGCGAAACCCACCCCAACGCAAGCTGTACTAGCCAGCGAGAAGCCGTGCCCACATACCCACCCACAATTAGGATTTCTCCGGGAAGGTTTCACTTTAGATTAAAAAAAAAAACAACCAACAGGTAACGTCCTTGAAGGCGCACTTATACTAGCTTCCGGTAGCCTAGTCTAGACCTTCTGATTGGGTAAAAGAAAAGTAACGAAACAGCCAATGAAAAGCTAGACCTGCAAGTATCTTTTACATTCGCATTTCTGACAACACGCGAAAATTAATCCAATTGCAAATGATCTTACTAACCTCATTAGAATACCGCATCTATAAATAAACGT